GCCTTGCAAAATGGGGGGTATTGGCTCATGAAACTGAAAATGGACTCTGTTGATACCTAGTGTGACAGATCTTAGGCAAGCCCTTGATCTTCCTAAGCCTTTTCTTAATCTGTAAACAGGACATTCCAGTTCTTAAAGTTAAATATGAATATATTAGCAAAGAATGATACTATACCATCAACCAAAGTTAGGCGTAGTGAAGGAAAGGAGAACAACACATTTTTAAAGAAACATAACCATTTTACACACCAGAATCTAAGTTAACAAAGTTGGTGTTTTGTTTTTTTTTCCTTGTTATTTATTTATTTATTTTATTGATTTTTTTTTCCTTTTTTTTTTTTCAGAGAGGAAGAGAGAGGGATAGAGAGTTAGAAACATCGATGAGAGAGAATCATCGATCAGCTGCCTCTTGCACAACCCCCACTGGGGATGTGCTCGCAACCAAGGTACATGCCCTTGACCGGAATCGAACCTAGGACCTTTCAGTCCGCAGGCTTTATCGACTGAGCCAAATTGGTTTTGGCTTTTTTGCTTGTTTTAACTTGTAGCGGTCCTTAGGTGACTCGGACGTTAGCAGTTATGTAGTGCAAAAATATCTCCGAAATGCTTTAAAGGTTTTCTTTTTTCTGTTGGTTACACAATCCTCAGACACCTTCCCCACCTATTAGTTTGCTTGACAAATCTGTTTACAAATAGTGGGAAAAGCAATTCAGTCCTGCTACTCCCTACTCACAGGGAATTGTGATGGCAGAAATAAATGACATCTTGGTGGACGCTGGAGAGATCTGTGAAACTGTGACAACTGGCTGCTGAGTCACACCTGTGCCCAAAGTGGTTAATCTTGAGCACTCGGTGCCTAAGTTATATCCCAGAGGAAATATTGGTGTTAGGGGCCTTCACCTCACCGGGAACACCCTTAAAGCATTGTGGCTGGTTGTTCAAGGGGAGGCAGATTTTCTAAGGCCAGGCTCCCTTCACTCTTTAAAATTGTTTCCTCGGTAGGAAACCTTTTCTCTGTGTGTGTGTTTTGTTTTGTTTTTCTTTTTCCTTATTTTTTGCTATTTGGAGTTCACTCTGTAACCTTTGAAATTTACTGCAGGAAACGTAAGTGTCCCACAGAGACTATTCTAGTGTTCTGAAAGGTCTTTTAAGAAACAGGCTTTGTTTTAAAGCCATCAACTACTAATAAACCCTTTTATTATTTTCACCACAATATTTGGAATACAGATTCATTTCAAGTTTTTAATGACTACCAGATGGCCAGTCTTGGATTGTTGTCGAGAGACATTTTTAGACAGAAAAAATGCGGCAGGACCTGCATACCTTTTGGTTGGCGCTCAGCTACCACATGTTTATCAGCGACCCTGGCAGTCCCCGGGTCTGGTCTGCAGGAGCGGAGGGAGGGTTTCAGGGAAAAGAAAACAGCCAAAGATTCTGATGGAAGATGTATTAGTCTGGATCACTCTGCAGTGATGAATAACCTCCAAATGTCCGTGGCTTAAAACAACAAAGGTTTGTCTCATTCTCAAAGGCTTGTCCACGGAGGGGTGGCTGGAGGCTCTATTCTGGCTCACTATCGCTCCGTTATAAAATGGCCAGGAGTGACAGCCTGACCCCGTGGTCATACAAATGACTTTGTATCACCCCCTAAGTTAGAGCCTGCTGTGCATCATGCAGACACTGTGATGGGGAAGACTTCAGGGTTGTTTCCTTTGGGGAAAGGATGGCCATACCTCACTTGCAGGCGGGAGAGCGGGCCAAATATCTAGCCATTGGTCTTAGGTGACCCACAGGTTGAGAGCCACTGATGTAGAGCCTAAGACCATCGGAACACACAGATATTTACATTACGATGCATAACAGTAACAAAATTACAGGTATGAAGTAGCAACGAAAATAATTTTTTTAAAAATACATATTTTATTGATTTTACACAGAGAGGAATTGAAAGGGACAGAGAGTTAGAAACGTCGATGAGACAGACACATCGACCAGCTGCCTCTTGCACACCCCCCACTGGAGATGTGCCCGCAACCAAGGTACATGCCCTTGACCGGAATCGAATCCGGGATCTTTCATTCCCCGCTCTATCCACTGAACCAAATCGGTCCCGGCTGCAACGAAAATAATTTTATGGTTGTGGTCACCACAACATGAGGAACTGTATTAAAGGGTCATGGCATTAAAAAGGTTGAAAATCGCCGAAACCGGTTTGGCTCAGTGGATAGAGCGTCGGCCTACGGACTGAAGGGTCCTGGATTCGATTCTGGTCAAGGGCATGTACCTTGGTTGCGGGCACATCCCCAGTAGGGGGTGTGCAGGAGGCAGCTAATCGATGATTCTCTCTCATCGATGTTTCTAACTCTGTATCCCTCTCTCTTCCTCTCTGTAAAAAAAATCAATAAGATATATTAATAAATAAATAAATAAAAAGGTTGAAAATCACTGTTCTAGAGGGTCTCATTCCTGGCCTGGAAACAATCACCTGTTATTCTTCAGTTCTCTCTTTTAAAGCAGGTTTCCTTCAGCATTATTTTTGTATTCATGTTGAAACCTATGCATCTAGTTGATTTAACTACTTATCTATATAGCACCTGGTTTAATGAGCATCAAGCTTCTACTTGGACACACCTCGCTATGGTAGAAACCATTTGAATGAGTAAATCAGTTCACTTGTTGCTTAAGTCTTTTTGGGCAGTTTGAGCCTCATCTGCTGAACATTCTTTTTTTTCTTTTTTTTTTTTAATCAATCTTTATTGTTCATATTATTACTAAGGTTCCTCATTTCTTCCCCCCTCCACCAGGTTCCCACCCCACCCTCCGCCCCCTTCCCCTCCCCCATTGTCCTCATCCATAGGTGCACAGTTTATGTTCAGTCTCTTCCTCCCTCCTTTTCCCCGATAGTAAATCCCTTTTCAGATAATAAATCAGTTACTTAGCATTTTCTCATATCAATAATACCTCCACATGCCCAAAGATACACTTCACATAAAAGACATTTCCAAAAAGTCAACCAGTCTCATCCAGGCCTCGCACAAGGCACTCACAGATCAACACCCCAGCGCTATACTAACTCAACATATCCAGATCTAACTGCTGAACATTCTTGATTAATATTCTAGAAGTTTTTGAAAAATGACAGTTGGTGTAAGACGGAGGAGTAAAGGATGAAGGCAAGCATTCTGTATCTAGAACCACCATCACTTCTGGCAGGCATGAAACAGTCTCTTATCAGTGGTTTAGCTGAATTTATCGAAACATCTGGGTATCCTGGATTAACAAGCTAGTGAATCATAATGGTAGCTGTGCTGGGAAGTTCTTCCTTCCCCTTCTTTTCTATCTCTTCTGCAGCTTGTGTAGGGGAAGTGGCAATTTAGGGAGACCTTGATGTTGGGAAGGTAAATAAAACTACATTTAAAATATCACAGTGTATTATAAAAGCATTAAAGCATCCAATTTTTCATGAAGGTAAACTAACACAGTATTCCAATTCTGTTCCCTTTGCCTTAACCAAAACTAGTTGCCTGAATTTTCAAAACTTGACACACTTTCTCCTACTGTTTTGTTGAGTTGCCCACACAAGCTTTGAAATGGCTGCAAAATGAGCTGGAGGTGAAGCAGGAAGACGAAACCAGGCCTTGAAGTAACATAATGTTTAGGTGCCCCTGTGGCGTTTTGAAAAAGTGAGACCGTGCAGTTGCCTGATCCCATCCAAACAAAAGGCCTCCTCCCAGAGGAGGTGGCGATGGGTTTCTGGTGCAGAACCAGATTATTTTCTGGGTTTCCCACGGCTGTTCTGTCCATTCTGTCCTGAGATGGCTCCTAATTATCATTAATATTAAATTTTTATTTTATTTTATTTTATTTTATTTTACTTCTGTACGTGCTGACAGTTCTAAGTGTAGAATTTTCTCCAACCCCTTCCTGATCTCTGGCCTCCACCCAAACAACCTGCTCCTCCTGTTACCCCTTAAAAATAGTAACAACATTTCTGTGGTCTCATATAACCACAGGCATAGGGGTCTTCCTTCCCTCTCTGCTCCTCTCCCCTCTTCCCCTGCCCCGCCCCACACACACACTCACCTCTTTTTCTTTCCAGACCAGGTAGGATAAATACATATATTATACTTTTTGAATCTTTTGTTTTCTCTAACAGAAAGGAAGAAAGAAATGAGATGTAGCAGGAGCTGTTATCCTTAGAATCCCGCACCACAGGGGTCATCATATTTGCCCATCACCTTTGATATTTCACGTTTTCTCCCCTTCTACTTCCTGTTAATTGAAAGCAGTGGAGTCACGCCTCATGAAGTCAGTTCATGAAGGCAAAAAGCAGATGCTGTAAACATTATCAGAGGATTTGAGATCAGTATACCATCTATTGGCGCACCTAGCACAGCTGGTTTTTCCTCTGGCATCAGAAGAGGCCATTTTTCTTTGGCTAAAAGTTTGATAAAATAGGTAGCATTTGGGAGCCATGATATATGCAAAATACATATTTTTTTAAGTCTTGGAACTGCACCATCTTGGTGAGATTCTCAAGCCCTGAGCAGCATATGAGTATTGAGATGGGCTTAGGGAACTGCAGATCCTGATTCTCAACTTAGAGTCAAATCTCGATGCAGACTAACTGAGTGGAGTATGGGCAGAATCCTGGACACCATTTTTATTTTATTTTTTTATCGATTATGGTATCACATAATTGTCATCATCCCCCCATTCTCATCCCAAACCCCTCCCCACATAAGCCCTCACCCCCCAGGTGTCTATGGCCACTGGTTAGGCTTATATGCATGCACAAAAGTCCTTTGGTTGATCTCTCCCCTGGGCACCACTTAAATCGTGAATTTCTCCTTGCCTGTCTTTTCTCTTGGTGCATATATTTGAAACCAATTAGGTACACATACAGATGTGGCACCACAGCATTCCTTTACTGAAGATTAAAAAAAATCAATTATTTATTTGCATGCATAGAATTCAGTGGCACTGTCTTTCTGTCCTAGCATTCCCCTGGTTTGGCATGGATATCGGTGGAACTCTGGTTAAATTGGTCTACTTTGAGCCGAAGGATATTACAGCTGAAGAGGAGCAAGAGGAAGTGGAGAACCTGAAGAGCATCAGGAAGTATTTGACATCCAACGTTGCTTATGGGAAAACCGGGATCCGAGACGTCCACCTGGAATTAAAAAACTTGACCATGTGTGGACGCAAAGGGAACCTGCACTTCATCCGCTTCCCCAGCTGTGCCATGCACATGTTCATCCAGATGGGCAGCGAGAAGAACTTCTCCAGCCTTCATACCACTCTCTGTGCCACGGGAGGTGGGGCTTTCAAGTTCGAAGAGGACTTCAGAATGGTGAGTGGGGTTTGTCCTTGTTAAAACATCCGAACCACCTCTTAGAGAAAGAAAGAAAACCTGATAGGTTTATAATGATGGCATCACATACCGAAGGACTAGGCTACTACTAACTAACTAGCCTTGGGATTTTGAACAAGTTCACATCACTTCTCTGTGCCTCCGTTTCCTCATCTACTGAATAGTTACCACCTCATAGGCCTGTTACATGGAGGATTAGATGAGGTACTAGGTACCTGACACTTCATTAGTGCTCAACAAAATTTGTTGCCATTCTCAACTTTTGTTATAATTAGTGCTGTACAGTATGCTAAAGACAAAATGATATAAAACTCCCTTTAGAGTTTTCCTCAGACTTCTTGAAAACCCAATTTCTTGAAAAGCATAATCAGTTTTATATGTATGTAGACTGAGGCCCACAGGAAAGGTTTTCTTAAAATCTAACTAAAAGTTATTATTTCTGTCTACCCATTTGCACTGTCTTTTTGTTTTTGGAATGTCATTCAAAAGTTTTGTTCACAAACAAACAAAAAATCTTTGATAGGTGAGTTTTTTTTTTTTATTAAAGAGCGCGATGTAGGAGGTAGTACATGATAAGAATAGTGCCGTATCCTGACTGGAGGTACATTCCAATTCTGTTGCTCATTTAGACTTGACAAATTTAGCTCTGTGGAAAATATGAATGAATGACATGGACTCCAAACATTGTCTTTAGCAATTCCTTAACACCTACATGTTCCCATTTTCCCATCTTTACAGTCAAGGTAATCTTTGTACTGTCCAGCCTCATCTTACAGGGAATAAAGTGAGAAGAAAATAAAAGAATAAGTGGAGAAAATAAAGGAAACGAGATTAGCAGAAGTGATGGAACATAGGAGAAGGAAGGGTTGGGAGATTTTGGGATTAGTCCTGCCAGAAAGTTGAAAATACAGTGAGGGTAAGATGTAAAATTTAGTGAGGTAAGCTTAGAGTACCGATCACTGGCATTTTGACATGGAAGTGATGTACATGTGCTGCTGAGGCAAGCAGTGTCGTGGAACTAATGTGATCTTGTCTTGTCATAAAGTCTATCATTAATGAATAAGTTAATGAGGCAATGCGTTACTCCTGGTATTAAGCCATAATGAAAACAGCATTGGTATTGTCAAAGGGAATGTCATTTATCTCATTGATTGTTCTAAATAGTGTCTGTAAGAACTGGCAGTGGAGTCCTACCACAGTAGCCTGAGACTGATTATCTTCAGGTTTTGGCCTTTTTTCTTTTGTGTCCCCTTTCTCTACCCAGCAGTAGAATTAAGAGTTTCTTGGAGTGCCCCCTTGATAAGAGGTGGGGCATCACCAAAATTCTGATTCAGGCGAAAGGAGCGCTGACCCAACTCTATTGCTGGCAGCTCATCAGTTTGCTCACTGTTGGTCCTTCTTCCCTGGAGAGCCTGAAATGAACCAAGGTGACTTGGAGCATTTATGCAATGTCCATCAATGCCTTCGTCCCTCCTCTGGGGTAATGTGTGTTCTAGGAGGAAGTTACTCAATGGATGTTGGCCATGAGCAAGTGTGTTTCTCAAGATTCTGAACTGGGAAAGGTCATATCTTATTACAACCAAGGTGAAGCCTCTGCTCCTGCAGGCAAGCTGTTGGAGCCTGAGAAGGAGACCAGAGCAGGGAGCAGGGTTATGTGTCAGCCATGTGCCACTTAACGATGGGAAATGTTCTGAGAAACTTTATTGTTGTGCAAACATCATAGAGTACACTACACAAATCTACAGGATATAGCCTACCACTATACGGTCTAATAACCTGTGGCTCCTAGGCTACAAGCCTGTATGCATGTTATTGTACAAAACAACATGAGACTAAACCAAGCACAGAAAAATATGATACAATCACAAGATGTGGTAAGCATCAGATGCACGAGGCTGCCGCTGGCATAACATGGCATTCTATTTTATAGCAAACTCATTGTTTATTTATTTAGTTTTTAAATCTTGATTGTTTAAAGTATTACATAAGTGTTCTTTTCCCTCATTGACCTCTTGTTGGGATCTCTGCGCTTTCTGGACTTGCAAGTCTATTTTTTTCACCAGGTGGGGGAAGTTTTCTGTCATTATTTCTTCAAATGGGTCTTCAGTATCTTGTTCTCTGTCTTCTTCTGGCACTCCCATAATTCGGATATTGGTACACTTGAGGTTGTCCCAGAGGCTCCTTACACTATCTTCATATTTTTTGGGTTCTTTTTGCTTTTCTGGTTGGGTGTTTTTCGCTTCTTCGTATTTCAAATCTTTGACTTTATTCTTAGGATTCTCTAGTCTGCTGTTGGATCTCTCTATATCAGTGTTTCCCAAACTTCTCTCATGATGAGAATCACCTGGTGGAGTTGTTAAAATACAGATTCCTGAATCCCAACTAAGAACTGCTAAACTAGAATTTTTTGAAACATATAGGTAAAATTGCTCTAGTATTATTCTATATTATTCTTTATTTCAGTCATTGTATGCTTACTTTCTGATTAGTCCTTTTTCGTATTCTCAATAAATTTCTCAGAGGTTTCTAGCAGGTTCTTGAGTAACCTTATAACATGGTTTTGAACTCTATATCCAGTAGTTTGCTTCTCATTTCTTTCACTTGTGACATATTTCTTTGTCTCCACATTTTGGCTGCTTCCCTGTGTTGATAGAGTGGCCTTGTGTGCTAAGTGTCCTATAGGGCCAAGTGGCTCAGCCTCCCCTGTTACCTGAGGTGGACACCCTTGGTGCACCTCTTGTGGGCTGTATGCAGTCTTGTTGTAGTTAAGCCTTAATTGCTGTTGGTATCATTGGGAAGAATTGATCTCTAGGCCAATTGGCTGTGAGAACCAGCTGTGTCTACAATGGGAGAACTGCTGTGCTAGAGACCCCCATATGGGGCAGAACTTGCTTCAGTGGGACTTTGGTGCTCACTGAGTCTGCCCTTGAGTGTGTCTCTATGGATGCAGGGTATGGACTCACACTGACCACTTGGGACACTGGCTCTTGGATCTCCAAGGAGGTGCAAAGTCAGCCACTGCCTGAAGCCATCCAGCAGGAGCTACAGAGAGATCTGCAGATTCCTCCTCTTTGTTTGAGATTTGGAAGTGCCCAGATGAGGCCCAGTTGTGAAGCAATGCAGGCTACCACTGCAGGGCACTAGGTTTTCCCTTGGAATCCCCGGAGCTCTGACCCAGCTGCAGTTTGTCAGGCCTTAGGTTGCAAAAGGACAGGCCATTCATATGCAAAAGCCACTGAGAACAGCTTGGGTGGGGCTGCAAATTGGGTGGGGCAAAGTCTTAGTGAATCACCAGGGCGGAGCAAACAGCAATGGCTGCCAGTCAGTCCTGTTCTGGATAGGTGCCCGAGTTCTGTGTTCTGCGGTCCATGCAGGAACAATGACCGTTGCAAGCATTACTGAGAGAAAGCCGCCCTCGAATTCTGGCCTGATGCCAGACAGTCCAGTTTCTCCCTGTATAAGTCTGGTCCCCAGAGTCTCACCTGGAACTGGAGATCAGAGCTTGTATCTCCCTCCCAATTGAAAAAAAACAACAGCACCCTCAGTGCCAGCCTGTTTTGCGAGTGCCTCTGCACCTCTGCCCAATCTCAATGAGCTTTTTTCTTTCCTTCTAGTTGTAGAACTTCCGCTCAACCGGCTTTCCCGTGGTTCTGGATGATATTTGTTTTGTCTTTTAATTGGAGTTTTGATGCGGTTGTGAGAGGCAGCAAGTACGGATGTTTACCCATGCTGCCATCTTGGTTGTCTCCCTCACAGGATTTTCTTTTTCCCTGGCATAGTTTCAGGATGTCCAGCTGGACAGACTGTGTCTCGGCCCATGTTTGCGATGTTGTCTCTGGACATGGCTATCAATATTGTTGACAGAGCTCTGATTAATTTTTAAGCAGCTTAACCTATGATCCCGATGTAATTTCTACTTTTCCGTTTGGGTGATCCAGGAAGTGATAACTTTCCTTTTTCAATTTAACAATTGTTTACTGAGTGTTCATTATGGACAGGCCTTTGATCATGGTGCTCAGGGGCATCCACTGAACCAGAAAACAAACCAGAATGTGACTGATGCTCTGAGCGTGATAGAGGAGGCTGAGGAATCCAGGACTGAGAGAGTAGCATTTGCACTGCTATGTCTCACTGTAGTCTTAGGTCTCCAGATGGATTTAAGAATATATATATATTCATATATATATATATTTATTTTATTTTTATTTATTTTTATTTTTTTATTTCAGAGGTGAAGGGAGAGGGAGAGAGAGAAACATCAACGATGAGAGAGAATCATTGATCAGCTGCCTCTTACATGCCCCTTACTGGTGACCGAGTCCACAACCTGGGCATGTGCCCTTGACCAGAATCAAACCCAGAACCTTCCAGTCTATAGTCCAGTGCTGTATCCACTGAGCCAAACCAGCTAGGGCTCCAGATGGGTTTATACTTCGAGCATTACTCCCTTAAAATGTATATAATTGTGTACATCTCACCCAAAAGTTTCACTTGGGGAAAAACAAAATGTTTGGAACCATTTATGAGATAGATTTAATTTACTGCCGGATATCACTTAGGATAATTGTTTGGGTGGATCATCTTGTCAGTAAACTGTTCTAATTCTGTTCTGCAGCGATAGCTTTAGTGGATTTTGTTGATTGGAAAGTTCAGATGAGTGACACAAAGTCAAATGTTTTCTTCTAGTTGTTAACTTTTATAATGAAGATGATCCCCTTTTTGGCAAAATAGTTTTAGTACTTTTATAGATTGTTTCCAGAACCCAGAAGCAGTACCCATTAGGAATGATGATGAGAGAATACGGCAAGTCTGTGGGAGATATTTGCAACTTGTATCACGTAGGGCAAGTTATTAAGCTCTATGAGCCTTAATCATAGAATAAGGATAATAGTATCTAGTAATAGGGTTTTGTGAGAATTAATTGATCTAGTACAGGTGCTTGGCATGTAGTAAATAATAAATACCAGTTATTATTTTCATAAATATATTTTTTAAAACATTTAAGTTAAGACTGTATAAATTATCTTTATTAATTGGTTCAGTTTCAGGTTGATGATTGCTAGATTTTTTTTTCCTTTTCTTTTTGGTAATGGAAAATTATCATCAACAGACCTCAGGACCAGTAATAATAGCATTCTCAAAGATCATGAGTTAAATTTTTGAGAAAGCCAAGTGGCCACTTGCTCCTGGCCAACTCATTCCCCTCTACCTTTCCCCTCTGTTCCTAGGAGAATAGGAGTGTTTATCCCATAGGAGCATGAAAGGACACTGAGGCTGCACCAGCTATTATTATAAGAGCCAACATTTGTTGAGTCCCTTGTACATGCCAAGCCCTGTGCAAGCATTTTTCAGATATTATTATCATATAATCTTCACAACAACTCTTGTGCATTGGGTGTTACTATCCTCATTTTACAGATGAGAAAATGTGGCTTCAGAAGTTAAGTATTAGAGCCAGAATTCAAAGCCAGGTCTGCCTAACTGCAAGCCAAGCCTGGGAAGATGGGAATTGGACTTTGTGGGCTCAGGAGATTGCCCCCCACTTCCAGGCTCAGCATGCTATCCTCAGGACCTCAAGTCCTGCCAACAAAGTGTAGGATTCTTGCTGCTTTCAGAACATTCTCACGCTCTTCACCTTGTGGGAGAGCCCCTATCTCAGTGGTATGCTCTACTTGTTTCCTATGGCTGCGGTAACAAGTCACCACCAACTTAATGTCTTCAGACAACAGGAATCAATTCAGTTGTAGTTCTGGTGGCTAGAATGAATCAAGGGGTTGATTGACAGGACCACAGTTCCTGCAGAGGCTCTTGGACAGATGCCATTCCTTCTTCTGGTGGCTACTGGCCTTCCGTGGCATGTGGTGCAGCTCTCCAATCTCTGCCTTCATCTTGGCAAGGCCTTCTCAGTGTCTATCAGATCTTTCCTGAGGGTCTCAGGAAACGTGTCTCTTTCCTGAGTGTCCCAGTAGATAATCCAGGAGGCAACATGCTTGATTTAATATCATCTGCAAAAAGGCCCCTTTTCCATACCAGGGAACATTCACAGGTTCTGAGAGTTAGGACGTGGGCATTATCTTTCGAGGCCACCCTTCAACCTACACTACACAGCAGCAAGATGCTTTTCTAGCTCTCTTCCCTCAGCTCACATTGTGGGCAGAGAGGAAGTCTGAAGTCTGGCAAAGGCTACGGATTGTCAAGATTTACAACTTGGTGTTTCAGTGGCACATGTTAAGCTCCACTAAATGTCTCTGGTGCCTCCCCTCAGGCCATGGCAGCCTTTATCACGAGGTTTTATTCTCTTTTAGATCGCGGACCTGCAGCTCCATAAACTGGACGAACTGGATTGTCTGATCCAGGGCCTGCTCTACGTAGACTCCGTGGGCTTCAATGGCAAGCCAGAATGTTACTATTTTGAAAATCCCACCAATCCCGAATTGTGTCAAAAAAAGCCGTACTGCCTTGATAACCCATACCCTATGCTGCTGGTGAACATGGGTTCGGGGGTCAGCATCCTAGCGGTGTACTCCAAGGACAACTATAAAAGAGTGACAGGGACCAGGTAAACGTGGTTTCACTAGGAAACCTTTTTATACTTAAACCCAGGTCTCTTCCTTGAAGACTAGTTTATAAAAAATGTAATTTACAGTGAATACATTTTCAAAAGAAAGTTATTACCCTCTGTCAGTCAAAAAGGGTTTACTGGGTATATTATGAGGGTGATTTCCATAAAGGTAATAGAACACAGTCCTTGTCCTGTTGGAAACTGATCAGGTTGAGGGAAGAAGGGTCATACATGGTCTTTTGGAACCATCCTGGTGCCTAGCTTGGGATGAATTGCTTGAAATAATAGGTCACTGCAACCAGTAAGCCAAACTGGGTTTATAAGGAATGTCTGTTACCCTCAAATACATGCTCCAGCCGAAAACTGGATTAGTCGGCATACCTCACAGGGAATTTTGGAATGTAATGGACAAGAAAGCAGCCATGTCACCATAGTTGGGTCGAGTGCCTTTTTTTGTTTTGTTTTTTAAAATATATTTTATTGATTTTTTACAGAGAGGAAGGGAGAGAGAGAGAGCTAGAAATGTCGATGACAGAGAAACATCGACCAGCTGCCTCTTGCAACCCCCCTACTGGGGATGTGCCTGCAACCAAGGTACATACCCTTGACCGGAATCGAACCCGGGACCTTTCAGTCCGCAGACCGACGCTCTACCACTGAGCCAAACTGGTTTCGGCGATTGCCTTGTTTTTTAATGCATACAGCATACACACCAAAGGGCAGATGGGCTCAGCCTCCTTTTATATATATATGTTATTGATTTCAGAGAGGAAGGGAGGAGAGGTAGAAGCATCAATGATGAGAGAGAATCATTGATTGGCTTCCTCCTTTATGCCCCCTACGGGGATCGAGCCTGCATCCTGGGCATGTGCCCTTGACTGGAATCAAACACAGGAACCTTCAGTCCGCAGGCCAATCCTGTATCCACTGAGCCAACCCAGCTAGGACTCAGCTTCTTTTTAATGGGAAAAGGATCTGGGGTCAGAAACCTGAGATCCTGGCAGAAACAAAATTAAATAAGGTTTTTCTTCTAAGAGAAGAATTTGGTATGAATGTTGCTCCAACTTATTGGACCACAGAACTCATTTTTGGAGGAACAACTTAGGAGCTAGTGCCATGTGAAATATGGTTAGGGACATGATATTGAAACCATTGTTTTTGATGGATGAAGGTATCATGTAACTTCTCTGGGCCTCAGTTATGCTCATTTGTGCCATCAAGGGGTTGTTTCTTAGATAGTTTATACAGACTTTCCCAGTACTGGAATTCTGCAGTGTAATTTGCCCAGGAGGACGAGAGCACTGCTTTCTACACTATTTCCATGACTTGTGATGGATCTCTTAAAATCAGTGGTTCTCAGATTTATGCCCCCAATTTCTAGATACTTATTTTTTTTTTAGTTTTCTCAAATGAAGGTGGGATGCTACTAGCATCTAGAGGGAAGGGGCTAGGAGGCCCCCTACAATAAAAAAGGAAAAAGTACTAAGCCCTAAAATCAATAATGCTGGTGTTGAGAAACCCTGGCTTACACGCATACACACACACTCTGACTGAATCCTAGGCATACATTTTCTAGCTGAGAATACAGAACTAAGCCCACATTCCCCCATAATCATCACACTGACCCCCAGGCCTCAGTAGGACTGTCAGGCCCATTAGAGGCAAATGAATATTTCAACTGAACTGGTTTTACCTCAGTGATCTTCCGATAAAGGCACAATTCTTAAACTATAGACTTCCTCTCAGAAGGAGTTGTTGACTCCTAAGGTGACAACAAGCTAAACATTTCCCACAACTAGAGATATTTATAAAATATTGCTGAGTAACATTTAACTGCATGAATTACAGGTAAACTTTCTCACACTTGGACCTTCCAGGGACTTGGGTCATCTTCTTGAACAGCTACTAATGAGCTAATGGTGGTGCCTGCCTTCCATGTGTAATGCCTATACATTTCAGTTCCTGGTAAATGCTCCATTAATGACCAGTGCTTTGCAATCAATCATCAGCAAATCCCACCTGGATGTCCAAGCTTAGCTGCATGCTCTCTCTAACTAGTAGTTTGGGGAATTGCTACAGGAGAGTAAATGCTAATAAATAGCCCTTCCAGGGGCTGCCACAGGGAGGGCAGGCGAATGAGACACCAGTGCTGGGCCCAAGGTCCTTCTTGTCCAACCAGAGCTGTTATACCAGTGTTTTCTTTTGATCCAAGTTAGGAAGCCCCGGATACAAACAATGGTGGTCAGCAGTGACCATCAGTGCATGGAACAGATTTTGGCAGTCACGGGGTTTCTCAACACCAGCATTCCTAAGCAAATGTTGTGAACAGATAGCTGTGATTCCAGGTTGTTTTAATATCCTATTACCTCATTAAGCATTTTTATTTTTAGGAAGTCATATCATCACAGAATATCAGTTTTCTTTTAAATATATTTTATTGATTTTTCACAGAGAGGAAGAGAGAGTAGGATAGAGAGTTAGAAACATCGATGAGAGAGAATCATCAATCAGCTGCTTCTTGCACACCCCTACTGGGGATGTGCCCACAACCAAGGTATATGCCCTTAACCGGAATCGAACCAGCAACCTTTCAATCCCCAAGCCGACGCTCTATCCACTGAGCCAAACCGGTTTCGGCTCAGTTTTCTTTTAAATATGCTTTCTAATGGTTTGCTTCAGTGCTATGTGCAGTCTAATGCATCCTAGATTAGGTAGCCAATTTGTTTTTTTCTATTGACACATTTCAATTTTACTGTTGTAGTCAATGAAAAAAGCCAGAGAACTTTACAATTGACATTGTTAGAATGTGTGGCCTATTAAAAGAGGAATGGAAAGAATTTTGAAACTTCAGTGAGAGTTGTAGTGCAGCTTATCTCATTGTTCTGGAATCTATTTTAAGAGCACAAGCACTCTAACTGAAGGTTTCTTCTACTTCTCCCTAAAATCTCTCACTTTCAAGGTTGCTTTTTAAAAACAAACAAACAAACAAACAAACAAAAAACCACCACCACAACAATGATATTCAACAGCTGTTTCTAGTGATATGTTTTTGTCTATCACTTGCTGAGAGTCTTATTCTGTGCCGAAACACACAGATGTGTTATTATGAACAAGAGGATCACTTGATTAAATAACGTTTAGCAGGCTGGGGATATTAATAAAGTGCTCTTCTTTGACTGTGCATTCTTCCCGGCTATCTGCAGTGTGCCAACTGTGCAAATGCATGCTCGCTTCCCCATTCAGCTCTGGGTCTTTGTCTGGAGTCACCTGTCATTTCCCCGTCATACGAAGCACTTGTTCTCTTTCACTCATACCAGCACATCAGTCGATGAGTTGCCTTCTTTCTAAGTCAGCCAGTAACTTCAGTTGCCTATGTTTGGAGTAGGTTGTTAAATGCCTTGATTAATACCAGGCTCTGATGTTCAAAGAAAGGTGGTATCGATGAAAAATAAAGCTAAAAAGAAAATAGGAGCAAATACTTAATAGATACAGTGAGAAAACAAGACAAATCCAGCACACACAAAAACAAAACAGTGTTCCCATTAAAACACAGTAGCTTTGCAGGGTAGACTGAAACTGACATCAGAGCATAACCGGCCATGTTAAATGGAAATGAAGGTACACTTTCTCAGAGGAAATCCAAAATTTCTTCTGTGACTGGGTTGTCAAGGCAACAGTGTCCATGGAGCTCTTTGTATCCTGATGGCACTGCACCTACAGTTGGATAGTGCCTAGTTGCAAGTTTTCCACAAGGACCCTTAATTTTCATCACGTATGTATTTTTCTAAGAATCAGTAGTTATAAAATATTATGTACAGTTTGCTTTAGATGGGATTTAAAGTGCCTGTCTACAATCTGGTACCTCCTGGTGAGTGGTTATGGACAGTAAATATACATTACCCTAAGTTTTCTTCAAATTTAAGTTAGAAATAACCTTAATCTCAACCTGAATATTTTCTTTTAGAAGCTCGTATCCAAACACATACGGGGTTTCCAGGGCTAACAGCTCTTGGAGCTTCAGAGCAAACTGATGTGAGCAATTTACTCTTCACCTTTCCCATTCTGCGAGACGAAGAGGGAGAGATACCCACGGTCATGCCAGTGCCCCTTGTCCTACCTGGACTTCACTAGTGATAGCTCTACCTTGAATCTGCTATTCTTCCCCTCAGGAAACTTTTGATAGCAGCACACTATTTTAACACATAGTTCGAGCTTTGGAACCATTTTTGACTTCTTTTCTTGACTAGCTTTGACTCTTGGTGGTAAGTAAAATATTAACAACGTTTTCCAGAGTCTCCTAGAAACAAATACAATCTGAGACCAACCAGTGGCTTCCTTTCAGAAATTTCCAAGGAGGTTACATGAGATCTCAGCTAGAGTCAAGCGAGGTCAGGTGAAAAGTACAGCTTTGTGGCTGGCTGTTCCTGCCTGAGTACCCGGTCATATTTGTCTTCCGAGTTTGGCTCCATCGTTTCTCTGCTAGTTATCTACTATAATACTTTCAGACCAGCCGAATTAAGAGCAATCGATTTGCCTTCATTTTATAGGTGGAGAGACTGAGGCATGAGTGGCTAAGGTCAAGGTCTCACAACAGATATCAGTGAGAACCCCTCTGGTTTGGTTCTTGAATCCAGGGGCAAGTTTCCCTGGATGTTTCTTTTCTGTCTCTGCCCTCTTTTATTTTATTTTTTATTTTTTTATTCAGTCCACCCTAAAGCGCTCTCTCTCTCTCTCTCTCTCTCTCTATCTTTTAAACATATTTTATTGATTTTTACAGTCAGGAAGGGAGGGGGATAGAAAGTTAGAAACATCAACGAGAAACATCCATCAGCTACCTCCTGCACACCCCCTACTGGGGATGTGTCCACAACCAAGGTACATGCCCTTGACTGGAATCAAACCTAGGATCCTTCAATCCACAGGCCGACGCTCTATCCACTGAGCCAAACCAGCTAGAGCCCTAAAGCTCTTTTGTACCCTAGCACTTTCATGCAAGTGCCTCTTTGTTTTTCTTCTCTTTTATTAACCTAAACTAGCGGGCTTGATGTCGTTGGGGAGTTGGATGGGCATATCTTCAAGTAAAACTTAAAAATAAACATTGTTGTTCCTTCAGTCTTGGAGGTGGAACATTCCTAGGTCTGTGTTGCTTGCTGACGGGTTGTGAGACCTTTGAAGAAGCTATGGAAATGGCAGCTAAAGGCGACAGCACCAATGTTGATAAGCTGGTGAAGGACATTTACGGAGGAGACTATGAACGATTTGGCCTTCAAGGATCTGCTGTAGCATCCAGGTAGAGACGCAGGGGCTAGGCACAGTCATATTGAAACACAAGGCAACCTCTCCACCCTGGCTATTCTTGTAGTTTACTTTAAATATTTTAACCCATCAGGTGCAACTATCTATGGGATTGGAGTTCAGACTTGGATCTCCAGCCCGTTATGAAGCACCAAGATGTTTAGCTCTTGATGCGTGTGCTTACCATAGGGCAGCTTTGAAAGAAGGTTCTGGAAAATGGCAACAGTTTCCTGTTTCATGCTTGTCCAGATATCTAGAGGCATTAAAAAAAAAAACACAAACAAACAAAAAAAACCTCTCCCTCATTAATAGCCATGCTATTTTGTTCCTATTAAGAAAAGGGCAGCCAACCATTCATATTGTAATCTTGTCTGCTTGTAAACCATGGCAGCGAAATCAGGTCATTTGAGTTTGAGCAGAGTTATTCATACAGCTCACCACAGTACTTTGGTGGAAGCATGGGGTTTGCCCGAGGATGATTTTGAACACTCTCGCTAATATTTCCAACGTAGCTTTGGCAACATGATGAGTAAAGAAAAGCGAGAGTCCATCAGCAAGGAAGACCTCGCCCGAGCCACGCTGGTCACCATCACCAACAACATCGGTTCCATTGCTCGGATGTGTGCACTGAATGAGGTAAAGCCTTAACCTGGGAAAAGCCGTGTGTCCTTCATATACATCACCTTTGGCATTGCAATGACTATTGACCCTTACAAACTACAGTCTTTGAGAAACCTGTCTTTTGTCTTGTAGTCACACCTTATAGAACTAGAAGGGTAGATGTTCGGAGTAGGGGGCGGGGAGGCAAAAGAATATGTGTTTTATTTTTAAGTAGGCATTGGATGAGAACAAAACCATCCATGGGAGAAACATGGTAAAATAGCAAACCATACCTTCGCCTCTCTACCCATTAGGAGTATTATGTACCAACTGAAGTATGAGGTAAAGCTCTGTGCACCCTTGCAAATATTCGCAGGTAAAGGATATTTGATATTCTCTCTGCTTTCAGCTTCTTTACAGTGTTGCCTTGTGGCATGGAGTTCAAGCAGCATTGTACAGGGCTATCAAAGCACAGAGAGCTTGCTACAGTTGAGGCCAGCCAGAGCCCCAGACCCAGGAAGAGGTAGAGCTGGTCACAGACAAACTGTTCAAAATATTGTAAATTTCCTTTGGGGGGAAAAAGGGGGAACCTTTTTCTGGAATATAAGATATATAAAGTGGACTGGCTCTTACTGAGCAGTGTTAGGAAGACAAGAAAGGGGGGTTTGGCATGGAACGGGTAATAGGAAAAGTATTACCCAATCATAGTAGCATCAGAAATAGAGTTTCTTTTCTTTTCTTTTATATATATATATTTTATTGATTTTTCACAGAGAGGAAGAAAGAGGGACAGAAAGCTAGAAACATCAATGAGAGAGAATCATCGATCAGCTGCCTCCTGCATCCCCACTGGGGATGTGCCCGCAACAAATGCACACACCCCTGTCCGGAATCGAACCCGGGACCCCACAGTCTGCAGGCCGACACTCCATCCACTGAGCCAAACCAGTTTCGGCAGTAATAGAGTTTCTTAAAGTATAATTTTTTTAATCCTCACCCAAGGATATTTTTCGATTGATTTTTTTTTTTTTTAGAGAGAGTGGAAGAGAGAGGGAAAGACAGAGACAAATACTGGTGTGAGAGAAACACATCCATTAGTTGCCTCCTGCATGAGCCCTGACCAGGGCCCAGGCCAGGGAGGAGCCTGAAACCAAGGCACATGCCCTTGATTAGTGTCAAATTCGGGACCCTTTGGTTTGCAGGTCAACACTCTACCCACTGAGCCAAATTGGCTAGGTCTAAAATATAATTTTTAATAAAAATGACATACATGCAGAAGCAGGTTCAAATCATAAGTGTATAGCCTTATGAATTATCACACACTCACAGCCACCACTCAGATTAAAAAACAGAACATTACCGAACTATTGTAGAAACACGCTCTACTCCCCATTGAATAGGGGAGCGTTAACCAGGGTGTGAGGTTGCCTTTATGCTAGTTAGGGGCCAGCCCTGCCTTTGACCTCCGGGGTACAAGAGTGACATCCTCCTTTCACCATAGTGAATAGAATATGCCTTGGCCAGTTGGTCAGGTTCATGTTTTTAACTGAGTCCATTTAAGATGGATATTCAATGCAAAAGCTGATATTCCGATGACAGAATGTTTTCTGGGGTCATGCCTTTTCAAAGTCCACTTTGGTCATGGGATTCACTGGAACAGAGAATTTGTTTTTTTTATATACTAACCTTTAAAGAGAGTTTTTCCAAGGAGCCAAACAAGCCCTCAGACTAATCTTGTGTGGCGTTGGCTGCACTCACAGACTCCCTAAGGTCACTTCGGCGGGAAGAGCGCAATGGGTGCCCTTTCCCCTGCTTTCCTCAGAGCTCGAGTAAGCCAGCAGGTGTTTTCGCAGGTATGGTAATCGCTTCAGAAGGGAGGACAGCTCATTTCATTTCCAACTCTTGATTTCACTTTCAGTTTAAAACCTTAGCAGCAGAGCCTGTTTGAAAGTGTCACACACTTGTCTGAGAAACGGTTTTAGACGCTTCTGTGGAGTTGAATGAATGAGAGGAATTGCCGACAGCCTCAGGCAAGGGCTCCGTTAGCTGGTGTCCCGCCAGGGCAGGCTCCCTGCGGACACACCACGTGCCCCACGGGAGCAGTGATGCAAGCCCTTCTGTCATGGGTTTGCTCCCCAGAGTCACTGGTGGGAGGATATTTGATTTCAACCACATGCACTCAATCTAAAATACTTCTGCTGTGGTTATTGGAAAGCTATGAAATGCTCCATCCACTTAGGATATTTTTCAGTCATTTTATTGAAGAGAGAATAATGCAAATACATAATACAGAATTCTGAGACACCAGGTGGGTATTCGAGGAAGGTTTAGTTTTTGTTTGTTTGTTTTTTGTTTGTTTGTTTTTTTTGTTTGGTTTGGTTTTTTTACTCTCTATTGTATGTAACAGAACAAACATCTTTTGAAATATAACATTCTTTTTTTAGCAACAGTTTTATCGAGATAGAATCACATGATATGCCCATGCCATTCACTTTCTACCCACTGTTCTACATCCTTATTCGGTTGTTTATCCACCTTTTAGTCTAAAATTGTTGAAGATAAAGAAAGGAGAGAGGAATATAAAGAATCTCCATGTAACCATCAACTCAGTCCCAACAGTTGTTAAGACTTTATCATACATGTTTCACCTATCGCTTTTCCTCCTCCTTCTCTCTTTTATTGTTAAAATATTAGAAAGCAAACCCCAGACATTGTCAGTCTACCCTACATACTTCAACATACACTTTAGGAAATGTTGCTTTTTGCTTTTTTACATGATAACACATCTTGAGATTGTTCATATATTTATAATTGCTTCGTGTTTTGTTTTGTTTTTTTAATCCTCATTGGATGATATTTTTCCATTAATTTTTAGAGAGAGTGTAGGGGAGAGACACAGAGAGAGAATCATAGATGTGAGAGACATATCGATTGGGTGCCTCCTGCACAGGGATCATGCCTGCAACTGAGGTACATGCCCTTTTCTGGAATCAAACCAGGGACCATTCAGTCCACGGGCCGATGCTCAATCCTCTGAGCTAAAGCTACTAGGGCTGCTTCATTTTATTAATGGCCATATAGCATCATAACATGTAGATATGTTATTCTAGATTTGGTCATTTTCCTAATGATATAATGAATTTTAGGGTTTTCTAGATCTTGCCACTATTTAAAAAATTGTTTTTTATATATACATGTACACACCATTTTGCATGGAATTATACCTATAGGATAAATTCCTAGAAGGGAAATTGCCAAGTCAAGGATGTGTTTATTGACTATAATTTTGACAGATAGAGTTGGTTCTAATTAATTTCCCATCAGCAGAGTTTGTTTCTCCACAGAGGGTCATTAAATCTTCTTATTTTTTCCAATGTATTAGGTAAGAAAAGAAATGCGATCTTATTTTGGTTTCAAAATTGTAAGTGAGGCTGAACATTTTTTAAAAATATATATTTTATTGATTTTTTTACAAAGAGGAAGGGAGAGAGATACAGAGAGTTAGAAACATCGATGAGAGTCATCGATCAGCTGCCTCTTGCACGCCCCCTACTGGGGATGTGCCCACAACCAAGGTACATGCCCTTGACCAGAATCAAAACCTGGACCTTTCAGTCCGCAGGCTGACATTCTATCCACTGAGCCAAACCGGTTTTGGCAGGCTGAGCATTTTAAAAATATTTTTAATAGCCATGAAGTTACCTCCTTTTGTGTATATATGAACGCAATACTATTCACACATTTTTCTATTGGATGGTTGGTCTTTTCCTACCAATCTGAAGGTAAATAATACATTTTATGTTATATGTACTGAAAATATTTTCTGATTATTGGTTTCCATTTGAATTAGTTAATGGTGATATTTTTCTCCAGAATAAATATTTGATTTTTTTAAGTAAATGTGTCTTTTTTCATGGATTATGAGTATTACACCTTTTCTACTTCAACATTATATATATATATATATATATATATATATATATATATATATATATATATATATATATAGATTGGTTTCAGAGACAAAGGGAGAGGGGGAGAGAGATAGAAACATCAATGATGAGAGAGAATCATTGATTGGCTACCTCCTGCATGACCCCTACTGGGGACTGTCGGTCCTGCAACGCAGGCATGTGTTCCTGACCAGAATTGAAGCCCAGGACCCTCTAGTCCTCAGGCCAATGCTCCATCCACTGAGCCAAACCAGCTAGGACTTCTTTCCCTTTTTTAAAAGTTAACATTTATATCACTCACCCACCTGAAATTTGTTTGAAACAGGGAATGTCCATCTGCTTCTAATGCTGCTTCTATTCCTTCTGTTTCCTACCTGAGTAAATAAAGCAGGACTGGGGTTTTAGAGCGACTGACTCCCTCATTTGGGGGGAAAAGGTGAAACTCCTAAATGTAATTAAATTCCATTTTAATCTGAGTTTCTTATTTTGAGTGTTCCTTGCCACCTCTCAGTCTGGGTGGTTTGTGGCTACAGTTCTTATTTGTGGAAAGGTATTAATACCACCTCCCACCCCCCTCCTCATGGAAATTTTTCACAGTGGTTAATGGGTTAAAGAACATGCATGGTTAAAACTTGAGACTGTTAAAGGTGATGTTCCCAGACCCTGTGACTCTTCATAGACTGAACAGAAAATAATGCCAGCTTCCAAGCTCTCTTCCCTTTGATATGGGTGACCATAGCAACTGGCTCTGTGAGTGAGTGGTGAGCAGCCTCTGCTTGGTAGACAGGCATAGCTCAGTGTTGTGTGTTGTTCAGAATATAAATCTGAATCCATGACAAGAAAAAAATATAAATGTATTTTTTGTTACCATATTTTCACCACCTCCCTCTCTCTCCCCCTGACCAAACAGGATATTTTAAAAGTAGTAAGTAGTATTTCTTTTTGTATTCCCTATGTCAGGCACTGAGTAAACTGAGCAAATAATATGAGATGAATAACCCATGCCATGGCCATTTTGTATATGAGTTGCTTATAATAATATTTTATGGTCAGAGGTTTGGAGGATTGAAGGAATGCAACAGCAAATTTAGCTGACATTGAGCACCGGTTACAATTTTATATATGAGTGTTGGCAGCTGAATTCCATATCAGACTTAAGGCAACCTAACATAATGACTGCAGATCAGCCCAATGCCAGTCTCTGCCCAATCCAAGCAAAATCTCACCGTCTTGGTTTGCCCTTTGAGGTCTGCTCAAATTCATCTCGGAAATGCTGTAATAATTCCATTTTTAATAAAAATTTATTCTGTGAGGTTCTGGGAGCACAGTGATGTATGGAACATTAGGTCTTTGCGAAATGCTATTTATATATGTCATCGTTCAGTTGTGTTTTTATTTCTGTTTTCCCCCTCAGAATATCGACAGAGTTGTGTTTGTTGGGAATTTTCTCAGAATCAATATGGTTTCCATGAAGCTGCTAGCATATGCCATGGATTTTTGGTCCAAAGGACAGCTAAAAGCTCTGTTTTTGGAACATGAGGTAGGTTGAGCTTGTATGGACATCATTGTTCGATGTGAACATTTTCTGGTTTATCTACCATGAGTGAGTCACCAACATTTTGGGGGAATCCACTTGTCGGGGTAAAAATGCATGCCCCTTTGTACAACCCTAGGCCTCTGGACTATATAGGAGTGTTGGCAGCTGAGTGTTGGTTTGTTACTGTGCATCACACATAACTCAAGCCTCTATAACCAATGAAACGAATGATTTTATAACCCTGTGTAGGTACCAGAGAATTCTCTACATTCTTAAGTTCACTCCGGCTTAGGCAGGCCTTACTATGGAGAGAGAACTTTTGGGGGAGCACTGACTGGTATGGGGCTTCCCTGCTCTACCTTAAGCGGTGTCACTCACTGTCTCTCAGTTATATCAGTGAACATCTCCTAAGACAAAGTAATCTAGCAGAGCGGTTAAGACCACAGCCTCTTAGTGACAGGGTGGCCTCAGCCAGTGGACTGCCTCTCCATCTCTGTGTTCGCACTTGTGAGATGGGGTGTCATAGTACGTCTCCTAAAGTTACTGTGCAGATTAAATGACTAAGTCCATGTAAAGTGCTTAGACAATGAATGAGCCCTCACTAAGAGTTAGCTGGCGACTGGCAATAGAGGCGATCCTGCCATGCATGGCCCCTGCTGCTGCCGTAACTGTTGAGTCAGGCATACACCAGAGGAGTGGGAGTCTCCTTTTTTTGGAAATCAGTTTCTACTTTTCAGTTTCTGTAATTTTCACAGAAACATGGGTTCTTTTTTTTTTTTTTTTTTTTTTTTTTTTACAGTTGAGCGAAGTGAAATGGCTGATTTAGCTACCTTTCCAAGATCTACTGAGGGAAGCTGTAGGTTATTACAGCTTTGAAGTCACATAAATTTGAGGTTGAGCTCAGGCACATGTCATGTGATCCTGCAAGGGTAATTTATTGCCTTCCATTTCTCACCTGTGAAATGGGGGTAATCATATACATTTTGCCATGGTAAGAATTAAAATGAAATGCAAATAATACACAGCCCTTCTGTGACACACCCCGTTGCCTTTTTTCTAAACAATTTACAAGAGTCAACTTATTGAATATGTATAATAGGCCATTATCCAACATATTTTATTATTACTATTAATTATTATTATTTACTTCATCCTGTTTCATCGCAGAGTTAAGGTTTTAAATTTCCCTCACAACATTAGGGGGCAGCTTTCCTAAGATTATTAAAAACAATAGGTGTTTGTTTAAGAAGAGTGGAAGAGAGAGGAAAAGACAGAGAAAAACATTGATGTGAGAGAAATACATCAATTGGTTGCCTCCTGCATGGACCTGATCACAGCCCGGGCTGGGGAGAAGCCTGCATCAAGGTACTTGCCCTTGACTAGAATCGAACCCAGGACCCTTTGGTCCACAGGCCCGACATTCTATCCATTGAGCCAAACCAGCTAGGGCAATAAGGGGGCTTTTAAACTAGGGATAGTTTGATGGAAAAACAATATTCTAAAAATAGATCCAGAGAAACAGAAGCATTGAACATGGAGAATGAGGGCATATGCTGAGGGTTTGGGGGGGGGGGGGGGGCGGCCCGAGAGGAGTGGCTGGAGAGGCCAATGAGGAAAAAAGGAGACATATATAATATTTTAAATGATAAATAATTTAAATTAAAAAGAAAGAAAGAAAGAAAGAAAGAAAGAAAGAAAGAAAGAAAGAAAGAAAGAAAGAAAGAAAGAAAGAAAGAAAGAAAGAAAGAAAGAAAGAAAAACAATAGTCATCTGGTTCAGTTCAGAGGTAATCATACTGCGTTGCCATTGTTTCTGTAGGGTTACTTTGGAGCTGTTGGGGCCCTGTTGGAACTGTTCAAAGTGACTGATGACCAGTAGAGATGAGCCCTAGATGGTAGGACAGCCTTCCGTGAGAACAGAGACCAGGGAACCGCCGCTGGAGAAGGTGAAAGCCGCCGTGAGACAAAAGCCAACCCACTCATGGCAGACACACCTGCTGGATTTGTAAATAATTTAAAAATCCTTCTAGCTGATCTTTTACTCTTGGGTTTTGAGTTTATGATTCAAAATGGGAAATACAAGAGTTTTTTCTGTATACTGTATTTTTAAGAAGAAGAAGAAGAAAAAAAAAAACACACACCATTTTGTGCAGTGTGGCCAAACCTACCAATTTTATGCATTAACTTTGTAAAGTTGTATTATGTTTAAGAAGGACCTGAAATGTAAGTGTTGTTTATACTTCTTCTGGGGTTTACTGATCAGTGTGGTAATTTTAAATTCGTTTAGTAATTACTCTAGGAGATTTTACCTTTACTTATATTTTTCATGACGTTTCATGATTTGCTGTTTGGTTTCAAATGAAACTACCAATCTGGCATGTTTTACTGTGAACACTATTTTGTCTGTCTGTTTACCTTTTATTGTCTTGTGTCCTCTGTTTGAATGTCTTATGGGAAAAGAGTCTCTGCCCGCGTTTCTATCCTCAGACGACTCCCCCCTCTCCACCAGACCTTCCTGTGCTGTATTTGTTCATATTAATCAAGGTGCTGTCCTACTCAATACAATGTTAAACACGAGACCTAAAAGCTCTCTCAAAAGTGCCCTCGAAGGAGATACCCTGAAAGTGTTCATGAATTTCAGGAGTCTGGCAAAAGTTAAAAATTATGCAATTTTGTCACATATAGTGTTTTGTTGGATTTATTTTATGTTCGGTTATATTAAATGGAGATATTCTATGACGAAATGTCCTCAACCATGCACACAGTACAAATGGCAGCAAGTCCTTGTGCAGGACATTAACATGTATAAGACAACGTCTCCTGGCAGATTAACTGTTCACATTGGGAGGGTTGGAAGAAAGTCGCATTTGAGGTGTCAGGTAGGAATATCTTTTGTTTTGTACATGTATATACCTAGGAACTTTGTAACAAGTCATCTTCAATAATAAGAAAGTTTTCCATGTGGAGTATTTTCAGCTAAAAACTACTTTAATCTCAGTTTCTAAAATTTAAAAAAAAAATTATGACACTGATCTCTATGTATAGTTTTTCTTCTTAAAAACATTGGTACTGATGGATGACTTTCAAATCTGAATCTTAGGCAGACATTGAAATCCATGAGATCTAATGAGTTAGAACGAATTCATTTTTGAAATTGAACATTTAAAAAAAAAGGGGGGGGGATTTCATAAGGGCTGGACATTGTTCCATGACGAATCTTTCCTTCTGCATTCTGAGCAGCGCCTTTAATTTCCATATCGTCAATTCTTGAAGTTGATGTTAATTGAAATACTCACCTGTCTGGTTGAAATAAAGCCCGTTTTTGTTGTGATGTTTTTATTTTTAGTGTATCTGTTATTTTCATTTCCTGATCTTCATGTTCATGTTATCTGCTTCTGTACCATAAAAATGAACGTGTTGTGTTTTTGCTACTCTACATGTCATAATTTGAAGCTGTCACACGAGTGTAGTGAAAGTCCAAAACACTGTGTCTTCAATTGAAGCTGTAGATCTATGCAGGAATTGTATTTTTTAAAAAGTTATATAATTAACTCCTTATCACTGCTAAATTTTGGTAATTTCAAAAGAGTTTCAGGATTTAGTCATAAATACATCTTATTAACTCCCACCTGGCTTTAAAAAATAGAAACAGCTAAAAGACACATGTAAGAAAACTACCTATCACCTCTGATAGTGCCTTTTTAAAAAACTCTTTTCTACCATTCCTACTCTCATCTGTCAGGGAATAGCACAACTTGGATCATGGTTCTGCAAAAGAAATTGGGACAAGTTGGTGTGACTAAAAAAATTTTTTAAAAAATTACTTTGAGTCACTGGATCTGTTTTTACAAATGCTTAAGGGTTAGCTGAGGAAATAAGTTCATTCTGTTCTGCAAATATCAGTTAAATGTTGGCTCCATATAGCCAGCTTCTTTCATACAATGAGAGACTTGGAGCCTGGGGATTGTTACCCTTACTTGAATTACAGAAACTTTCCTTTGGCTCAACACCAGGAAGAATGAAGAATTTTTAGCTTGAGCTATATGATCCGGGGGTCCAGCTTCTGTTTTGGCTCAGCTCAGCCATTAACTAGCTCTACAGGCAAGTCACTAAGCCTCTCACTAAACCCTCGTTTCCTCCCTCATAAAATGGGGGAAAATAGTAGTTCTAACTTCATCTCCATGTTTAAAGAGATTAGCACAAGGGCTGACACATACTAAAAGCTTACTTTTAGCTATACTGAAAAGAAAATAGATGTTTTAAACTAATGCATTAAATCAGGGATATTTTAGCCTTCTGGAATGTGGGGAGCCCATTTTATCAGAGGTACAGCATAGTTCTCCCTATGCTAGTGCTGGTCTATGGACCTCATTCACAATTCCAAAATCCTAGCTCTTCAAATTTATCTCTCATTTGAGAGATAAAGTTACTTGAGCATTATTTAATCACACTTTATAGGACTCTTCACATGTCTTGTTGCAAAGCTATTAATGTATTTGACTACAAGGTTCTGCCCCAGACATTATTAGGGGTATTAAGTAGTGAACAATCCTGGGTTTTGGGCTACATCTGGTCCCAATATTTTGATATAAAAATATTGTGGAAATATAGCTGTATACTTCAACTTATGTAGTATGCTGAGTCCCTTTGTTGGGGACTGTGGTTACAGGTAATTTATACTTGGACATCATCCAGTCAGTCACAAGGGATATTAAGAAGTTCGTTTGTACCAGGAAGGAAATGAGGCTAGTGTACAGCCCCTGCTACCCAGCAGGGGAAGGACAGAAATCTAAGCCAACACATGCAATAAAGTATCTCAGGTATAATTCCCTTGTTCACCAATATTTACAGCAGTGAACAAAACAGGTCCATCCTCACAGAGCTTGCATTCCTAGAAGGGAAGACATGCATTAATAATTATATAAATTAAAGTAGTAGCTCACTATTACAAAGAGAAAGTAAGGTAGGTTAAGGGGCTAAAGAGGGGGCATAATTCGGTTCAGGAAATGGGAAGTGGAGAAACCTCGAGTGATCAAAGACAACATCTTTTAGAGGAGGTGACATTTGAGCAGAGTTGAATGGAGGAGGGAGCATACCATGTAAACACTTGGTGGGAAATATTTTACTCCTGGTACATGAGAACGGAGGTTTGGAGGAACTGCCAGGAGGCCAGTGTGCCTGGAGCAGAGTGAGAAATGCAGTTTTAGACACAGCCAAGGAAGGGGTCCTACATGAAGCCCTAAGGGAGGGGAGAGGGGCGCACAAGAGATTGGTTACTTTTGGAGGAGAGGGCTAGACAGGTTCTCAGTCTTGACGAACAAGGAGAACCCACCCATGGGGTGGACCATGTCAGGAGGGCTTAACGAGCAGAGAGTAGGGCGAGAAGAACCAGCCTAGTTTATTCAGGGAACTAGACACTCCACCTGGAGCCTCGTTAGAGAGAAACCAGATCCTGGGAGAGAGGAAATCAAGCAGATTATGGAAGGTCTCGTATTCCATGCCGAAGATTTTGGACTCTTCAGTAGTCATTGTGGAGCCACCAAACAATTCCAAGGAAAGTGAAGCTGGAATTAATCTGGCTTCAAAGTGATAACCGAGCAAAATGGCCTGTGGAGGCCAATAAGTAAACCGGTTAATGTGCTTTTGAATACATAGCACCACTCCGTTCTCATGTTTACTTTTATTTCCCCTATTGTGCCAAATCTGCTGAGTGGGCCACGGTTCTCTGTAATTAAGATGGTTATATAAACTCTTGAGAATTTCCCCAAAGGACAAAGGCTACTAATAGCTACAACTTGGCTGGGTTTCTATCCCCTGAGGAAAAAGGTTTCAACACCAGTGATCACCATAAACTCCATTCTCGCAAGAACTGCTTGGAAGGAAGGCACTTTTCCTCTTGGTGATCAAAAAACGACCTCAAATTTGTGAGGGAGGTTTAATTAATGCACATTTTCTATTGGATTGACCAGGTGCTCATTCATTCACTCTTTATATATTTAAGTTTGACCTAATGCCTATGATCTGAGATGCACTGGGTAACATTTAGAGCCCAATTGATTGTAAGACAGTGAGGTCCCTACTTTCATTGGGCTTATATTCTCATGAAGGAGATGAACTTTAAGCACATAAACCGATAAATAAACATCAAAATAAAAGATAGTGATAAAAGCTACAATGGAACAAAACAGGGTGACATGATAGAGAGAAAAAAGTAGGACTTTCTTAGATGAACATGAAATACAAATAGAGATAAGTTAACGGCTTCAACTTTTGAGGAATGACGGTCAAGTTCATCTTGCTTTCCATTATCACCTTCATGAAAATGAAAGATGTTTGGGGGAAACAGTTTAATAACTAATTTATTTTCTTTTTATTTTACTTAGAATATTTAATTTAGTTGCATATCCACTTAAACTTAGTACATTAAATAATATATTAATTTAGTAATGCACCTTTTTCACTACTTGTTTTATGAAACAATATTATTTAAACTGTTCACTGGAATCTTTATTGTCAATGGCTTTGTCATGACCAGAGTCACTTAGTATCCAGAGGATACTAAGTTTGACATACAGCACTTTTGAGTTCATGTCTGGTAGTGACACTGGACTCTTTTTAACCAAGCCACAAGCACCTATTCTCATAAAGAGCTTAATTATTTGTTTTATTTTTCAAAAGGTATATGTTGATGATGCCACAGTATAACTATTTATGTGGAGCCTTTTTTAAAAAGGTTAGTTTATGAATATTCATCACTTGCAACACAAAAATAAAAGAAAATTTGTCTTAAAACTCTTTGCCTCTTTTTATACTCTATGAAGTAAACACAAAATTGAATTAATTATGTTTAGTTAATATCACCAAACATTTTTCAACCAA